ACATAAAACTATGTATACCCTTTACCGTTTGGTATGCTGTAACATAAAACTATATACACCCTTTACCGTTCGACATGCTGTAACATAAAACTATGTATACCCTTTACCGTTTGGTATGCTGTAACATAAAACTATATATACCCTTTACCGTTTGGTATGCTGTAACAAAAAACTATGTATACCCTTTACCGTTTGGTATGCTGTAACATAAAACTATACACCCTTTACCGTTCGACATGCTGTAACATAAAACTATGTATACCCTTTACCGTTTGGTATGCTGTAACAAAAAACTATATATACCCTTTACCGTTCGGTATGCTGTAACATAAAACTATATATACCCTCTACCGGTTGGCATGCTGTAACATAATTACCGTTTGGCATGCTGTAACATAAAACTATAAATACCCCTTCACCGTTTGGTATGCTGTAACATAAAACTATATATTCTCTTTACCGTTTGGTATGCTGTAACATAAAACTATATATACTCTTTACCGTTTGGCATGTTGTAACATATAACTAAATACACCCTTACCGTTCGAGATGCTGTAACATAAAACTATGTATACCCTTTACCGTTTGGTATGCTGTAACATAAAACTATATACACCCTTTACCGTTCGACATGCTGTAACATAAAACTATGTATACCCTTTACCGTTTGGTATGCTGTAACATAAAACTATATATACCCTTTACCGTTTGGTATGCTGTAACAAAAAACTATGTATACCCTTTACCGTTTGGTATGCTGTAACATAAAACTATATACACCCTTTACCGTTCGACATGCTGTAACATAAAACTATGTATACCCTTTACCGTTTGGTATGCTGTAACAAAAAACTATATATACCCTTTACCGTTCGGTATGCTGTAACATAAAACTATATATACCCTCTACCGTTTGGCATGCTGTAACATAATTACCGTTTGGCATGCTGTAACATAAAACTATAAATACCCCTTCACCGTTTGGTATGCTGTAACATAAAACTATATATTCTCTTTACCATTTGGCATGCTGTAACATATAACTATATACACCCTTTACCGTTCGGCATGCTGTAGCATAAAACTATGTATACCCTTTACCGTTTGGCATGCTGTAACGTAAAACTATATAAACCCTTTACCGTTTGGTATGCTGTAACATAAAACTGTAACACCCTTTACCGTTTGGCATGCTGTAACATAAAACTATATACACCCTTTACCGTTTGGTATGCTGTAACATAAAACTATATACACCCTTTACCGTTTGGCATGCTGTAACATAAAACTATATACACCCTTTACCGTTTGGCATGCTGTAACATAAAACTATATACACCCTTTACCGTTTGGCACGCTGTAACATAAAACTATATGCACCCTTCACGCACAAACCGTCATTATGAAACTTGAAATCCCAACCTTCACCGTCTGGCATGCTGTAACATAAAGCTATGTATACCCTTCAAAGTTCGGCATGCTGTAACATAAAACTATATACACCCTTTTCCGTTTGGCATTCTGTAATATAAAACTAGATATACCCTTCACCGTTTGGCTTGCTGTAACATTAACCTTAAGCAGGGTTAAAATTTTAAGCGTAAAAGATAAAAAAAAAAAAAAAGAAGAAGAGCAAACCAGTCTTATATAACTAAAACATGTATACAATCATGGGATTCTGGACGATACCAAGATGCGAACAGTCTACTTTGAAAGCTTTTTAATAGTTCTAGATTTGGTTGGAATATCTAAAAGCTGGTATCTTTTAGCGTGAAGCTTGTAGCATAGGCATCTACAAAGTGTTCTAGCAGATGATCAATGTCTGATATAAGATCCTTAGAGTTCAACTGTGAGCAGAACTTTGGAGGTTTTAGAAGTTGGTCTGTGAATACAGATGGTGGTATTGGTTCTTCCTCGGCAGTTTCGGAAGTCTGTCTATGAATACAGTTGGCCATGTTGTTTCATCATCGAGAGTTTCGGAAGTTGTTCTATGAATACAGATTATCGTGTTGCCTCATCCTCTGTAGTTTCAAAAGTTGTTCTCTGAATACAGATTGTCGTGTTGCTTCATCCTCAGGAGTTTCGGAAGTTGTTCTATGAATACAGCTTGTCATGTTGTTTCATCCTCAGGAGTTTCGGAAGTTGTTCTATGGATACAGATTGTCGTGTTCTTCATCCTTAGGAGTTTCGGAAGTCGTTCTATGAATATAGTTGCTCATGTTGATTCATCCTCGAGTTTTTCGGAAGTTGTTCTATGAATACAGATGATCATGTTGTTTCATCCTCGCAGTTTCGGAAGTTGTTTTATGAATACAGTTTGTCAGGATGTTTCATCCGTAAGAGTTTCGGAAGTTGTTCTATGAATACAGATTATCTTGTTGTTTCATCCTCAGGAGTTTCGGAAGTTGTTCTATGAATACAGATTGTCGTGTTGCTTCATCTCCGGCAGTTTCGGAAGTATGTCTGTTAATACAGTTCGTCAGGTTTCTTTATCTCCGGCAGTTTCGGAAGTTTGTCTATGAACACAGTTCGTCAGGTTTCTTTATCTTCGGCAGTTTCGGAAGTTTGCCTATGAATTTAGATGGTCATGTTGTTTTATCTTCGGGAGTTTCGGCAGTTTGCCTTTGAATTTAGTTGGTCATATGCTTTTATTTTCGGCAGTTTTAGTTGCTTTTGTTTCTTAATCTTCGGAAATTAGCCTTTGGATTCATTGAGTTATGTTTATTTATCTTCGGAAGTTTCGAAAATTAACCAATATTTATTTTGTTGTTTGAATTGAACAAACATATGTTACTTCTTAAATATCGTGATAATCTCATTTAAGCACAACAAGTGTAATATTTCCTTTAAAAACTCTTGTAGACATTTTTAATTCAATCTTAGATTATTTCTGAAATAATATATTGCGAAAAATTTCTCCTCAATATAGCGATGCTTATAAATCTATCAATAATTTCAAAATTGGCAAATATAACTTAGCTATATCGATTGTCCATTCGATGGATCCCTTGAACTGACCCGTTCTTTAAACATATTTTACATTTAAGAGTTTTAGTTCTGTTGGTTTATTATGAGGTTAACTTAGAACATCAGTTCCAATTACACTGATTTATCAATATGTCACATATTTCCACTAATCTATAACGACAGCTGTCTATTACTGTGTATTTTCTAGTATCGTAATGACTGTCTCTTGTGATCTTTCAAGTTATAAATTTTAGATTTACTGTAGACAAATTAGATTATGATCAATTTGCATACAACGAATAAGCGATTTCCAGACAATATGATTTGATGTATTTCAAAGTAACCACTAAATTGCTTATCGAAAGTAATTTATTAAGAAATAAGCACGCTTTTCATAACTCGTAAAAGAACTAATTATATCAACCTCATAAACCGGCGGGAAATTCCTGCTGAATTCGTATCAAATATATTCAGAATAACGTCATGTATGTGCCTGTCCCAAGTCAGGAGCCTCTGGCCTTTGTTAGTCTTGTATGATTTTTTAATTTTAGTTCATTTATATGTTTTGGAGTTTAGTATGACGTCCATTTCACTGATAAAGTACACATTCTTGTTTCGGGGCCAGCTGAAGCCCGCCTCCGAGTGCGGGATTTTCTCGCTGCGTTGAAGACCCATTCGTGGCCTTCGGCTGTTTTCTGCCCTTTGGTCGGGTTGTTGTCTCTTTAACATTCCCCATTTCCATTCTCAATTTTATTTACAGAACAATGTGAAAATAGCGTCAAAAAACATAAAGAAGAATACGGGTGCACACGCTAAAATGTCTCGTCTGTTTTTTGCTTATCACGATTGAATTTATGTTGAAAGTCTGTAACATGAAGGTTTTACTACAAGTATCACATAAACTTAATATTACCAATGGTCCGTGTTAATGAGGTCAAGGTCAGATGAACCCTGCACGATTTGCAAGGCAGCATATACACAATGCAATCATTCCGTGCAACACATATAGTTGGCCTATTGCTCATAGTATCTGCGAAACAAATATAATCAGAAAACTTAGATGTGAAAAATCATAAAAAATGAGGTCAGTGTCAGATAAACCCTGTCAGACAGACATGTACACATAACAATCATTCCATATACCAATTAGAGCTGACCTATTGCTTAAAGTATCTGATAAACGGACAAAACAATGAAAACTTAACATAATCAATGAACAATGAAAATGAGGTCAAGGTCAAATGAAACATGCCAGACAGACATATACAATCAAACATAATGGCCCTATTGCTTTTACAGTTTCTGAGAAATAGACCCAACCGGAAAGAATAACATTGACCTATGAACCACGAAAGGTAAGATGAAACCTGCCAGCCGCACGTATACACCTTACAATCATTCTTTACATCAAATATGTTGATCTATTGTTTACAGTATCTGAGATACGGACTTGACCGCGATAACGTAACCTTGATCACTGAACCATGAAATGAGGTCGAGGTCAGGTGAAAACCCTGTCTGACGGACATTCAGACCTTACAAGGATCCCATATACTAAATATAGTTATCCTATAACTCATAATAATTGAAAATTTCACATGACAAAATACTCTACGTTTTTTTTTAAGCAGTCGCTGAACACTGAGAATAAGGTCATGGACAATGGACATATGACAGACGGACACATAAGACATCTGTATACAAGGTATTATAGTGATTCTCATGGTGATCTCTGACTATAAGATATTACTACATTTTTGTAGTTGGGCTGCTGTCACAATGAGGTTTACCTCACATATGTTTGTATTTATTGTCTCAATGAGGTTTACATCACATATGTTTGTATTTGTTGTTACAATGAGGTTTACATCACATGTGTTTGTATTTATGGTCACAATGAGGTTTACCTCACATGCATATGTTTGTATTTATTGTCACAATGAGGTTTACATCACATGTGTTTGTATTTATTGTCACAATGAGGTTTACCTCACATATGTTTGTATCTATTGTCACAATTAATAATTCATAAACTATTTGAATTCTATTTTAATATGAAATTATAAAGAAATAACAAAAAGTTAGCCAAAAAGCAGTGTATCACTAAAACAATGAGTTGGCACAAAATCAAGGTAAACATATTTGACCTATAATTGTTTACTTTTTTACACATTGTGACTTGGATGGATATTTGTTTCATTGGCACTCATACAACATCTTCTTATTTATATATACAATATTAAAAATAATTCCACGTGTTCATAATTCAAATTAAGTAAAAGTTACATCTAAATTTTTTTTTATCCAATTTATCTACAAATATCCTGCAATATTTTTTTCTTTTACATAATTCTGTATAAATTACTTCAAAACTTCATGGCACGTAATCGCTTGAGGCGAATTACACGCTTTTGGGATGCGGGATATAGGCGGTAAAAAAAGTGGGACCTGGGAAAAGGAAGGAAAAAAGTGGAAAATGGGAAAAAATGAGAAACAAGGCGGGGTTTTAAAAATGAGCACCCCGTGCACGTGTCACCCCCTCTCGCTTGAACTCGTTCTACTTTGATATGTAAGAATTCTGGGGTATCAACAGAACGTGTATATGTACTCAACCGGATGAAAACATAGGCATGAAATATCTAATCACTTGATTCCGGCATGGCAGAAGAAGGAGGGAAATCTAATATGCTCAAAGACTTTTAATGTCAAAGGACCACTACTTCCGTAAAAATCGCTCAACCGGAACAAAACTCAAACTCTATTTGTAATTGCTTATTTTACGAGTATATACCAAATACGTAATTAATTGATTCAAACATTACAGAAAAACGTACAGAAACTGATATTTTCAGGAGAAAGTGTATTCTTCAAAAGCCACAACTTTCACAAAAATACCTTAATCAGAACAAAACTCAACTCGATCTGAATTTTTTGCAAAAAACTTCGGGACGGACAAACTCATAGAAACATCTTGTATTTAATTCAAAAGATAACTGAACAAATTGAACAAATAGTTTCTACAAAAACGGTTGTATGGGTTTATGGCCTCACTATTAATTTTAGATGAAGAACAGCAATAAAGATGCAGTTCCTTATGTTTCGGTGTTATCATGTGCGCGTACTGATTTTGTGTCATATCGTATATATTCCCTGCATTTTGTGTTGCAGAATATTCATTTTCATCCTCTTTAGGACAAGATTGTGTTCAGTTCTCACCAGGCAATGATATTTATTCATTTACAAAATCCCCTCCAAATCCCCCTTGGTGTAACTTCAAAGTTAACGTCACAGTAAGCACCTACACGAACAACATCATCGGACAAGAAAATATAAGAATAAGAAAGAAAAATCAATTCTTTTCTATTGTATGAGGACGACCATTTGACATGTTTGGTAGTCTGGCGGAGGCCAGAAGGATTTTGAAAATGAATATTCTTGCATGGTAAGAACTGAAATTGAATAAACAGGACAAGATAAAAAAGTGAATATTCTGCAACACTGAGTGCAGCCATTTGCAGGAAATACTTGTGTACAAAAAAGAAATAGCATGTTCGCTCGGTACATTGCAAAAACAAAACAAGCGGACTCGCAAAAGGAGAAAATGAATATACCGTCAGAGAAAAAAATCCTTCTGTAGTAAATTCATATTTAGATGAAACATAATGAGTATAACACTTCCGGAATATATGAGAACTGCTACGTCTGTTGTAACTTCATATTCAAATGTAACACCATGAGTATACCACTTCCGGTATACATAGCACCTACTACGTTTGTTGTAAATTTAAATTTTAATGTAAAGCCATGAGAATACCACTTCTGGTATACATGGCACCTGCTACGTCTGTTGAAAGTTTAGATTTAAAAGTAACACCATGAGTATACCACTTCTGTTATGCATGGTACCTGCTACGTCTGTTGTAAATTTAAATTTAAATGTAACACCATCAGAATACCACTTCCGGTATACATGGCACCTGCTATAACTGTTAATCCATACGACCAGGATAAGTCTCGATTTTTAGCTCCATAAATCACAATTCCCAGTACCGTAAATCCAGCTGCAAAATAAAAAATATTTATTCTTTCATTCAATCGCAGTAAAACCTCATCAGACATACAATAATTAACTTTAATTTTAACAGCAATGATTCTAATACAAACAACATGGAATACTGCTAACTAAAAATGTTTCGTGAGGTATTTAAATGTACTGAAAATGATCCCTTGAGACTTTTACAAAAAATAAAGAATAGCTACTCAAATATAGATGATATAGATAACCTAAATTAGTTGGTTTTATGTCTTTCATGTCCGTTAGTTAAGCAGTACATTGGTCCATTTATTAAAAAGTCATAGTCACTGAGGAGAGTGGACTCAATAATTGCATGATATATGTTATGTCTTGTACTTTTTTTCTTCTTGTGCTGTTTTATATACTGTCACATTATTAGTTTGTTAATTGTATCATGTTCATATATGCCATCAACCCCATTTGGGATATAACTGTGTATTTGAATCAATAAAAGTTGATATAACACATCTTGCTGTAAGAACCAGCAAAAGCTATTGTTACAGTTTTCTGTCAGGGGATACCTTCAGTCAAGCTTGTTTTTGTGAAAGGGGGCGAAATCTGTCAGGGGATACCTTCAGTCAAGCTTGTTTTTGTGAAAGGGGGTGAAATCTGTCAGAGGATACCTTCAGTCAAGCTTGTTTTTGTGAAAGGGGGTGAAATCTGTCAGGGGATACCTTCAGTCAAGCTTGTTTTTGTGAAAGGGAGTGAAATCTGTCAGGGAATACCTTCAGTCAAGCTTGTTTTTGTGAAAGGGGGCGAAATCTGTCAGGGGATACCTTCAGTCAAGCTTGTTTTTGTGAAAGGGAGCGAAATCTGTCAGGGGATACCTTCAGTCAAGCTTGTTTTTGTGAAAGGGAGTGAAATCTGTCAGGGAATACCTTCAGTCAAGCTTGTTTTTGTGAAAGGGGGCGAAATCTGTCAGGGGATACCTTCAGTCAAGCTTGTTTTTGTGAAAGGGAGTGAAATCTGTCAGGGGATACCTTCAGTCAAGCTTGTTTTTGTGAAAGGGAGTGAAATCTGTCGGGGGATACTTTCAGTCAAGCTTGTTTTTGTGAAAGGGAGTGAAATCTGTCGGGGGATACTTTCAGTCAAGCTTGTTTTTGTGAAAGGAAGTGAAATCTGTCAGGGGATATCTTCAGTCAAGCTTGTTTTTGTGAAAGGGAGTGAAATCTGTCAGGGGATACCTTCAGTCCAGCTTGTTTTTGTGAAAGGGAGTGAAATCTGTCAGGAGATACCTTCAGTCAAGCTTGTTTTTGTGAAAGGGGGCGAAATCTACCAGTGGATACCTTCAGTCAAGCTTGTTTTTGTGAAAGGGAGTAAAATCTGTCAGGGGATACATTCAGTCAAGCTTTTTTTTATGAAAGGGAGTGAAATCTGTCAGGGGATACCTTCAGTCAAGCTTGTTTTTGTGAAAGGGGGTGAAATCTGTCAGGGGATACCTTCAGTCAAGCTTGTTTTTGTGAAAAGGGATGAAATCTGTCAGGGGATGCCTTCGGTCAAGCTTGTTTTTGTGAAAGGGGCGAAATCTGTCAGGGGATACCTTCGGTCAAGCTTGTTTTTGTGAAAGGGGGTGAAATCTGAAAGGGGATACCTTCGGTCAAGCTTGTTTTTTGTGAAAGGGGGCGCAATCTGTCAGGGGATACCTTCAGTCAAGCTTGTTTTTGTGAAAGGGAGTGAAATCTGTCAGGGGATACCTTCAGTCAAGCTTGTTTTTGTGAAAGGGGGCGAAATCTGTCAGGAGATACCTTCAGTCAAGCTTGTTTTCGTGAAAGGGGGTGAAATCTGTCAGGGGATACCTTCAGTCAAGCTTGTTTTTGTGACAGGGAGTGAAATCTGTCAGGAGATACCTTCAGTCAAGCTTGTTTTTGTGAAAGGGAGTGAAATCTGTCAGGGGATACCTTCAGTCAAGCTTGTTTTTGTGAAAGGGGGTGAAATCTATCAGGGGATACCTTCAGTCAAGCTTGTTTTTGTGAAAGGGATGAAATCTGTCAGGGGATACCTTCAGTCAAGCTTGTTTTTGTGAAAGGGAGTGAAATCTGTCAGGGGATACCTTCAGTCAAGCTTGTTTTTGTGAAAGGGGGCGAAATCTGTCAGGGGATACATTCAGTCAAGCTTGTTTTTATGAAAGGGAGTGAAATCTGTCAGGGGATACCTTCAGTCAAGCTTGTTTTTGTGAAAGGGGGTGCAATCTGTCAGGGGATACCTTCAGTCAAGCTTGTTTTTGTGGAAGGGGGCGAAATCTGTCAGGGGATACCTTCAGTCAAGCTTGTTTTTTTGTGAAAGGGAGCGAAATCTGTCAGGGGATACCTTCAGTCAAGCTTGTTTTTGTGAAAGGGGGCGAAATCTGTCAGGGGATACCTTCAGTCAAGTTTGTTTTTGTGAAAGGGAGTGAAATCTGTCAGGGGATACCTTCAGTCAAGCTTGTTTTTGTGAAAGGGAGTGAAATCTGTCAGGGGATACCTTCAGTCAAGCTTGTTTTTGTGAAAGGGAGTGAAATCTGTCAGAGGATACCTTCAGTCAAGCTTGTTTTTATGAAAGGGAGTGAAATCTGTCAGGGGATACCTTCAGTCAAGCTTGTTTTTGTGAAAGGTAGTGAAATCTGTCAGGGGATACCTTCAGTCAAGCTTGTTTTTGTGAAAGGGGGCGAAATCTGTCAGGGGATACATTCAGTCAAGCTTGTTTTTATGAAAGGGAGTGAAATCTGTCAGGGGATACCTTCAGTCAAGCTTGTTTTTGTGAAAGGGGGTGCAATCTGTCAGGGGATACCTTCAGTCAAGCTTGTTTTTGTGGAAGGGGGCGAAATCTGTCAGGGGATACCTTCAGTCAAGCTTGTTTTTGTGAAAGGGAGCGAAATCTGTCAGGGGATACCTTCAGTCAAGCTTGTTTTTGTGAAAGGGGGCGAAATCTGTCAGGGGATACCTTCAGTCAAGTTTGTTTTTGTGAAAGGGAGTGAAATCTGTCAGGGGATACCTTCAGTCAAGCTTGTTTTTGTGAAAGGGGGTGAAATCTATCAGGGGATACCTTCAGTCAAGCTTGTTTTTGTGAAAGGGATGAAATCTGTCAGGGGATACCTTCGGTCAAGCTTGTTTTTGTGAAAGGGAGTGAAATCTGTCAGGGGATACCTTCAGTCAAGCTTGTTTTTGTGAAAGGGGGCGAAATCTGTCAGGGGATACCTTCAGTCAAGCTTGTTTTTGTGAAATGGGGCGAAATCTGTCAGGGGATACCTTCAGTCAAGCTTGTTTTTGTGAAAGGGAGTGAAATCTGTCAGGTGATACCTTCAGTCAAGCTTGTTTTTGTGAAAGGGGGCGAAATCTGTCAGAGGATACCTTCAGTCAAGCTTGTTTTTGTGAAAGGGGGTGAAATCTGTCAGGGGATACCTTCAGTCAAGCTTGTTTGTGTGAAAGGGAGTGAAATCTGTCAGGGGATACCTTCAGTCAAGCTTGTTTTTGTGAACGGGATGAAATCTGTCAGGAGATACCTTCAGTCAAGCTTGTTTTTGTGAAAGGGAGTGAAATCTGTCAGGGGATGCCTTCGGTCAAGCTTGTTTTTGTGAAAGGGAGTGAAATCTGTCAGGGGATACCTTCAGTCAAGCTTGTTTTTGTGAAAGGGAGTGAAATCTGTCAGGGGATACCTGCAGTCAAGCTTGTTTTTGTGAAAGGGGGTGAAATCTGTTAGGGGATACCTGCAGTCAAGCTTATTTTTGTGAAAGGGAGTGAAATCTGTCAGGGGATACCTTCAGTCAAGCTTCTTTTTGTGACAGGGGGTGAAATCTGTCAGGGGATACTTTCAGTCAAGCTTGTTTTTGTGAAAGGGAGTGAAATCTGTCAGGGGATACCTTCAGTCAAGCTTGTTTTTGTGAAAAGGAGTGAAATCTGTCAGGGGATACTTTCAGTCAAGCTTGTTTTTGTGAAAGGGAGTGAAATCTGTCAGGGGATACTTTCAGTCAAGCTTGTTTTTGTGAAAGGAAGTGAAATCTGTCAGGGGATACCTTCAGTCAAGCTTGTTTTTGTGAAAGGGAGTGAAATCTGTCAGGGGATGCCTTCAGTCAAGCTTGTTTTTGTGAAAGGGAGTGAAATCTGTCAGGAGATACCTTCAGTCACGCTTGTTTTTGTGAAAGGGGGCGAAATCTGCCAGTGGATACCTTCAGTCAAGCTTGTTTTTGTGAAAGGGAGTAAAATCTGTCAGGGGATACCTTCAGTCAAGCTTGTTTTTATGAAAGGGAGTGAAATCTGTCAGGGGATACCTTCAGTCAAGCTTGTTTTTGTGAAAGGGAGTGAAATCTGTCAGGGGATACCTTCAGTCAAGCTTGTTTTTGTGAAAGGGAGTGAAATCTGTCAGGGGATACCTTCATTCAAGCTTGTTTTTGTGAAAGGGGGTGAAATCTGTCAGGGGATACCTTCAGTCAAGCTTGTTTTTTGTGAAAGGGGGTGAAATCTGTCAGGGGATACCTTCAGTCAAGCTTGTTTTTGTGAAAGGGAGTGAAATCTGTCAGGGGATACCTTCAGTCAAGCTTGTTTTTGTGAAAGGGAGTGAAATCTGTCAGGGGATACCTTCAGTCAAGTTTGTTTTGTGAAAGGGAGTGAAATCTGTCAGGGGATACCTTCAGTCAAGCTTGTTTTTGTGAAAGGGAGTGAAATGTGTCAGGGGGTAGGATATAAATGCAAGATTATCTAAGGCACGTGCAACATTTGCAAGACTTCATACAATCTGGAAGTCCAACCAGTACAGTTTAAGGACCAAACTACGAATATACAACAGCAATGTAAAATCTGTCCTACTGTATGGTTCAGACACCTGGCGTGTTTTAGTTAGTGACCTTCAAAAAGTAGATGCATTCCATACTAGCTGCCTGAGACAGATCAACAGCATATTCTGGCCAAATAAGATCAGCAACAAGAGCGTTTGGAGAAATATAATGCTAAGAGCATAACAGCAGAAATCAAACAACGAAGATTTAGATGGTTAGGTCATGTACTGAGAATGCCACAACACCGCACACCTAAAACAGTTCTATATTGGACACCACCAGGAAAAAGGAAACCAGTGAGACCTAGAATCACCTGGCGAAGAACTGTTACAGCAGAATTGGAAGCAATGGGACACACCTGGGGCCAAGCCCAGTACATGAGTAAGGACAGAGATAAGTGGAGGCAGTTTGTTGTGGCCTTATGTCCCACTGGGGATGAAGAGGATAAGTAAGTAAGTAATTGTATTGTAAGACCACTATAGGTAGCTACTGTAGGACTCAGATCGTTATTCAATTGTACGTCTGAGATTGCCATTGAATTATTGATAGGGAGATGTGGTACGATTGCCAATGAGACAAATATCTATTAAAGACCAAAGGAAAAAGACATCCACCACTGGATTACAGTTTCCTGGATTGTAGTCCGTTTGTTGAGCCTGAATGTACAAATTTGAAATTAAACACAAATGTATATTATTTTTCTTGTTTGAATTGATTGACCAGGGCCTTTTAGAGCTTACCATGCCATATGGGTTTTGTTCATTGTTGAAGGCCGTATGGTGACCTATAGTTGTTAACTTATACGTCATTTGATCTCTAATGGGGAGTTGTCTCATTGGCAATCATACCACATCTTCTTACTTTTATATGATTGTTTTCATTAAAGCTAGATATATGACAACTATTTTCTTCTGAGAAAGGGTAAGGAGGTCAAGGGATAGTGTTAATGTTGTTTGTTTTTATACATTGTCATAATTAGCATACTCGTATCTTCAACGTACTTACACCTCTTACAATAACTATATTACTTGTTACAGGTGTGAAGTAAGTAGTTTTACTTATCATATTACCTGCGACAAATGTAGATACCATCCCAATTATAAATATCGCCTTGTTAGAAGATGACTGTGGGTGGAATATAAACAGCACCAAAAATACTAAGGCAAGAAAAGCTGCGAATAGACCCAATGTTTCCAGCGCCTGTGTGGCTTCAAACCATGCTGAAATATAATATACCATCAAATAGACCTTAGATATATACAATATATAGCATTCCAAATATTGTCTGTGTAACTTCAATCTAACCAATATATAAAGTATATGTTGGAATAGATAAAGTATATACTATTCTATACTGTATACTATAAGTACTTATATCCCGCGTGATCAGTCAACAGAGGATATCTAAAGATCAATAGGTATATTTTTTTACGAGAACAAAGGGAAAAAGGAAATTATTAATGTGTTGTTTTACGAGAAACATAATAAAACTTTCTAAAAAAAAATAACGGATTCAAACAAAAAGAATAAATGTATACTCAGAAAAGTGTTCCTCGGGGTGATATCGTCTTATTTAAGTCTTTGTTAACAGACGACTGAGATTCAAATTAGGACACAATTTGCATCGTTCTTTGTGGACATATTTTTTAGTTGTATAAAGTAGAGTTTACAACAACTTTTCGCTAAAAAATAAAGAAGGAAAAATGAAAGATGTAAACCTACTCTTTTAATTCTATCTCCTGCTATATTAATTATGGTATTTGTAATCACTGTGTTGATGAAACTACTGAGAAATACAAGTCTTCGAGAGGAACACTAGCTCGTATAATTGCTCTGAGAGATAAAAGTCTTCGAGAGTAATACTAGCTCGTATTTTTACTCTTGGAGATAAAAGTCTTCGAGAGTAATACTAGCTCGTATCTTTGCTCTGAGGGATAAAAGTCTTCGGGAGTAACGCTTGCTCGTATTATTGCTCTGGCAGATGAAAGTCTTCGGGAGTAACACTAGCTCGTATCATTGCTTTGAAAGGTAAACGTTTTCGAGAGTAATACTAGATCGTATCATTGCTTTGGGAGATAAAAGTCTTCGAGAGTAACACCACCTCGTACTATTGCTCTGAGGGATAAAAGTCTTCGGGAGAAACACTAGCTCCTTCGGGAGTAACACTAGCTCCTTCGGGAGTAACACTAGCTCGTATAACTGCTCTGAGAGATAAAAGCCTTCGAGAGTAACTCTAGTTCGTATATTTGCTCTGAAAGATAAGTCTTCGAGAGTAACAATAGCTCGTATCATTACTTTGGGAGATAAAAGTCTTCGAGAGTAACACTAGCTCGTATCATTGCTCCGACGGATAAAAGTCGTCGAGAGTAACATTATCTTCTTCGGGAGTAACACTAGCTCGTATCATTGCTCTGAGAGATAAAAGTCTTCGAGAATAATACAAGCTCTTATTATTGATCTGACGGATAAAAGTCAACGAGAGTAACACTAGCTCCTTCGGAGTAACACTAGCACGTATCATTGCTCTGAGAGATAAAAGTCTTCGAGAGTAACACTAGCTCGTATTATTGATTGATGTATTGTGTTAGTATACGTGTTCTCTACATTAAACAAGAATGATAATGCATCATTTATTCTATGAAATTAAACGTATTTTTATCAAGTTTCACTGAGGAGAAATAAATTCTCTTAACTCGATGATGGTAAATCAAATAAAATTCTTTTATGTTATGATGTTGAAACGCAAATGTCTAAAATCAATAACGAGTTTAACAATAAAAATTTTGCTTCTAACCTGTTTCGTTGAGTTATGAATTGTGTGCACTTCTGAAACTGAGTCTATTTCACATGGTAATTAACACTCATGCATCATTAGAAAACAATATTTGAACAAAGGGGACGGTAGAAAAGGAAATGACCCGAATTCTCTCTCGGAGCTCCACAATTACAAGATGGACTAGTCTTAGATACAGGATTTCTTCTCTCTCGGAGCTCCACAGTTACAAGATGGACTAGTCTTAGATACAGGATTTCTTCTCTCTCGGAGCTCCACAATTACAAGATGGACTAGTCTTAGATACAGGATTTCTTCTCTCTCGGAGCTCCACAATTACAAGATGGACTAGTCTTAGATACAGGATTTCTTCTCTCTCGGAGCTCCACAATTACAAGATGGACTAGTCTTAGATACAGGATTTCTTCTCTCTCGGAGCTCCACAGTTACAAGATGGACTAGTCTTAGATACAGGATTTCTTCTCTCTCGGAGCTCCACAATTACAAGATGGACTAGTCTTAGATACAGGATTTCTTCTCTCTCGGAGCTCCACAATTACAAGATGGACTAGTCTTAGATACAGGATTTCTTCTCTCTCGGAGCTCCACAATTACAAGATGGACTAGTCTTAGATACAGGATTTCTTCTCTCTCGGAGCTCCACAGTTACAAGATGGACTAGTCTTAGATACATGATTTCTTCTCTCTCGGAGCTCCACAGTTACAAGATGGACTAGTCTTAGATACAGGATTTCTTCTCTCTCGGAGCTCCACAGTTACATGATGGACTAGTCTTAGATACAGGATTTCTTCTCTCTCGGAGCTCCACAATTACAAGATGGACTAGTCTTAGATACAGGATTTCTTCTCTCTCGGAGCTCCACAATTACATGATGGACTAGTCTTAGATACAGGATTTCTTCTCTCTCGGACAGCTCCACAATTACAAGATGGACTAGTCTTAGATACAGGATTTCTTCTCTCTCGGAGCTCCACAATTACAAGATGGACTAGTCTTAGATACAGGATTTCTTCTCTCTCGGAGCTCCACAGTTACAAGATGGACTAGTCTTAGATACAGGATTTCTTCTCTCTCGGAGCTCCACAGTTACAAGATGGACTAGTCTTAGATACAGGATTTCTTCTCTCTCGGAGCTCCACAGTTACAAGATGGACTAGTCTTAGATACAGGATTTCTTCTCTCTCGGAGCTCCACAATTACATGATGGACTAGTCTTAGATACAGGATTTCTTCTCTCTCGGAGCTCCACAGTACTCTCTCGGAGCTCCACAGTTACATGATGGACTAGTCTTAGATACAGGATTTCTTCTCTCTCGGAGCTCCACAATTACATGATGGACTAGTCTTAGATACAGGATTTCTTCTCTCTCGGAGCTCCACAATTACATGATGGACTAGTCTTAGATACAGGATTTCTTCTCTCTCGGAGCTCCACAATTACATGATGGACTAGTCTTAGATACAGGATTTCTTCTCTCTCGGAGCTCCACAGTTACAAGATGGACTAGTCTTAGATACAGGATTTCTTCTCTCTCGGAGCTCCACAATTACATGATGGACTAGTCTTAGATACAGGATTTCTTCTCTCTCGAAGCTCCACAATTACAAGATGGACTAGTCTTAGATACAGGATTTCTTCTCTCTCGGAGCTCCACAATTACAAGATGGACTAGTCTTAGATACAGGATTTCTTCTCTCTCGGAGCTCCACAATTACAAGATGGACTAGTCTTAGATACAGGATTTCTTCTCTCTCGGAGCTCCACAATTACAAGATGGACTAGTCTTAGATACAGGATTTCTTCTCTCTCGGAGCTCCACAATTACATGATGGACTAGTCTTAGATACAGGATTTCTTCTCTCTCGGAGCTCCACAATTACAAGATGGACTAGTCTTAGATACAGGATTTCTTCTCTCTCGGAGCTCCACAATTACATGATGGACTAGTCTTAGATACAGGATTTCTTCTCTCTCGGAGCTCGACAATTACAAGATGGACTAGTCTTAGATACAGGATTTCTTCTCTCTCGGAGCTCCACAATTACAAGATGGACTAGTCTCAGATACAGGATTTCTTCTCTCTCGGAGCTCCACAATTACAAGATGGACTAGTCTCAGATACAGGATTTCTTCTCTCTCGGAGCTCCACAATTACATGATGGACTAGTCTCAGATACAGGATTTCTTCTCTCTCGGAGCTCCACAATTACATGATGGACTAGTCTTAGATACAGGATTTCTTCTCTCTCGGAGCTCCACAATTACATGATGGACTAGTCTTAGATACAGGATTTCTTCTCTCTCGGAGCTCCACAATTACAAGATGGACTAGTCTTAGATACAGGATTTCTTCTCTCTCGGAGCTCCACAATTACATGATGGACTAGTCTTAGATACAGGATTTCTTCTCTCTCGGAGCTCCACAATTACATGATGGACTAGTCTTAGATACAGGATTTCTTCTCTCTCGGAGCTCCACAATTACATGATGGACTAGTCTTAGATACAGGATTTCTTCTCTCTCGGAGCTCCACAATTACATGATGGACTAGTCTTAGATACAGGATTTCTTCTCTCTCGGAGCGCCACAATTACATGATGGACTAGTCTTAGATACAGGATTTCTTCTCTCTCGGAGCTCCACAATTACAAGATGGACTAGTCTTAGATACAGGATTTCTTCTCTCTCGGAGCTCCACAATTACATGATGGACTAGTCTTAGATACAGGATTTCTTCTCTCTCGGAGCTCCACAATTACATGATGGACTAGTCTTAGATACAGGATTTCTTCTCTCTCGGAGCTCCACAATTACATGATGGACTAGTCTTAGATACAGGATTTCTTCTCTCTCGGAGCTCCACAATTACATGATGGACTAGTCTTAGATACAGGATTTCTTCTCTCTCGGAGCTCCACAATTACATGATGGACTAGTCTTAGATACAGGATTTCTTCTCTCTCGGAGCTCCACAATTACAAGATGGACTAGTCTTAGATACAGGATTTCTTCTCTCTCGGAGCTCCACAATTACATGATGGACTAGTCTTAGATACAGGATTTCTTCTCTCTCGGAGCTCCACAATTACATGATGGACTAGTCTTAGATACAGGATTTCTTCTCTCTCGGAGCTCCACAATTACATGATGGACTAGTCTTAGATACAGGATTTCTTCTCTCTCGGAGCTCCACAATTACATGATGGACTAGTCTTAGATACAGGATTTCTTCTCTCTCGGAGCTCCACAATTACAAGATGGACTAGTCTTAGATACAGGATTTCTTTTATTAGTTGTTATTGGCTTTGAACTAGCTGTCAGTAACTGCAAGTACTCTCAAATCTGTATTTTGTGTCTTTTTTGTTATTAGGGATGTATAAATACCCTGCCACGTCCAGTCTGTGTTTTTGTTAAGATGTTTTT